ATTATATAACAGTCCGACCAGCAGCGCAGAAGAAATCTCTTTTTTTAAATAAAACATTAAAAAAAAATATTTAGAGCATGGGTATATGACAATCTATGGCAGTTTAAACTTTCAAATGTCTTTTTTTGTTTCTTCACAATTGTCTCATTGCACAGTACAGTATATGGTTAGAGACATCTGTGATTTTAAAAGGGCAAAGGGAAAACCCAGGTGCACTGTGGTGGAGGGAAACTAAAGTTTTTTTCCCCTAAACATCCACACTGGATCTTATAAGAAGCTAAACTAATCAAATATTGATTCTGCTTCTTTATGCCATCAGTTGTAAAAATATAGACTTTTAAAAGAAGGTATTCCACAATGAGAGTAAACAAAATATTTGGAAAAGCAACCCTAATGCTTTGACTGCATTTTCACTATAAACAAGCATCCTTGGGTCTGGATGATATTTTATTCACAAACTCTCAACAAAATTGCCATCTGTTCATCATTCACTTATTTGCTGTGATTTCTAGGCACCAGATACCATTTAAAGGGACATAAAAATAAATTCTATAAAGACCTGTGCTCTCCAATCTTAAGTTGGCTTCTACTGTTGTGGGTTTGGATTTTTTAAAATGTTCTTGCTCTGACAATTTAAATTATAGGAATTAAACAGACACTTGGGCTCTTTATATGCTTCTTAACCTTCTATACTGCAAAAATAGTTTTCTATAGTAAATTTAAATTTTGCCAACCAAAATGGTCCAAAAATGCCACAAAGTTGACAGATACTGGCATGGTAAGGATAGTGTATTCTATACTTAATCAGTTACATGTTTTGTGCATGGGCTGGGTTCTGAGCCTATCCTCCTTTGATGAAATGTATGATTTATTCAGAGACTATAGCTTATCACAAAAATTGATATTTATTCACAGGAAGGAATAAAAAAAAGAAGGCAGAAAGGGAGGTGTTTTGTCTGTGGTTTAGATGTAAAAAGAGAAGGAAAGTTTCAAAATGAAAAAATAGAAGTTATATATATAAAACATTTATGAGCTTTAAGGAATGGACTGAATATTAATTATTATTTTTATTTTTAACATTTGTATTGCAGTAGCAACTACATGGCCCACTGTGTTAGCCATTATAAACATGTTGTGTTGAGGGTCACTTAGAAATCTCAGGGTACGTCTGTATTGTGGTAAGTGTAGACAATCAATGGGAGAGGTTCTCTGATTGCTGTTGTTAATTCACTTCCCCAAATGGTGGTAGCTAAGTCAATGGAAGAAATCTTCTATTGATGTAGCACTATCTATACTGGGAATTAGGTCAGCAGAGTAATATTTCTCAAGGGTGCCAATTTTTCCCACCCCCTCATAATTATGAGTCCATGTTATCTTTCAGGTGAGCCAAAAATCACATCGTTAAAGTTGCATATGAATTGTGGCTTTGCCTCTATATTCATAGAAGGGGAAACATGTAGTTGCATTGACCCTCAGGGAAATCCAAGACCCGACTGAGACTGTTCCATAGATGAAGTCTTCTGTGTCAGCTCCCTGTACTAGCTCAGCTCAAAGTCTTTGTGAAGCAGAGTCTGAGTGGAACTGAGCATTATTTGCTATTCAAAGCTCAAGCTAGATTTCTTAGTGCTGATTGATCATATAGGCTTCATGTTTATAATTATTTTCCCTGACTGGATAACTGTAACACTTATAAGCAAATAACCACTGCAAAAATCAACAAACTCTAAACTTTGCCTAGGCTTGTTAGGAAATTATAAACTTAAAATTTGCTCCATCCTATTAAATCCCAACCCCTTGAATAACCTCAGTGAACAAATAGATTCAAAATACTGTGGCAATGAATTTGTACACGAATCCTGATTAGTTTCTGCAGAACGCTATTTGCACTATTTTTTCTCTCCATCGGTGGATTCGTAAACCATAGCATTAACTTCTGATACATATTTGAAAACTGTTCCAAGAGTATCAATATTACTTTTTAAATTATTTTAAACATAAATTTCTTCATTTGCTATTTCTCTCGCCCAGTCTCCCCTCTCTCACCTCACTTTTTCCTTAATTATTAGTATGCACTTAACTGAACAAAAGCGCTAGATGGTAAGGCCATGACTTCACAATAAGATTTAATTATGAGTGCAGATATGAACAAGATTTAGACTATTAAGCTATGCACTTCAAAAAACCTTTAACATATTTTGTCTTTAAATCTTTTATCACCTGCAAAAATTAATTAAGTGCAGATGTAACAGGTTAGGTTTTGATGCCAGGGTTCATTTCCTGTCTATGCTTTGTCAGACAACCTATTACACCTTCTCATGAACTGTAGGCAAAACAAAAATGGTGCTCATAAATCAACATTCAGCTTTCTTTGGGATGTGTATTGGGCTGATCCGTTAAGTATGAAGTAAAGCCCCAATTCATTATTCATGAAAATAATATAGACAACATGCCAAATGTCATCTGTATTTAAATAAACCATCTGTTAAACAAATTATAACTCTATTGTGTAAGAATTCATTCTATTAAAATACAACACTAATCCAATGAGGCTAACTTTTAATCATTTTGCTCTCCTGCAGGGAATCATCCAAAACTGGCATATATGATTTGAAAACTTTTCAGAGAGAATGACTTGTTGATTTGTTTTAATAATATCAATGTTACTCAACAAGCAGATGGGGGAAGTGGCCAATTTGGTTACCAAAGCAACAGCATTCTTTAAAGCATATCAGACTATTTAAAGTCTGTATTCTGTGGGGAAAAGTAAACTTGGGATTCTGGTGGGTTGTTTTAACAGTGGAAATATCAATTTGTTTAAGAACCATAAATGTTGCCTTGCTCCGTGCCTTCTTCTCATCAAATTGCTGTTAACACCGTTAAAGTGAAGCATAGATGTTTGTAGTTTCAGTATTGACATCCTGGCATTAATGAGTTCCTAGATTCAAAGGAAATGCACACCTTTATTTCTTGTAAGTATAAGGCAGGAAAGCCTGACATATAAATATAAATTCATTATCTTTTATCTAGATGCACTGAAAGTGTGATGCTTGCCAAGAATACATACCAGATCTACAATCAATATCTTGCCTATATTTAGCTTGTCTCTCAAGTATTTGGCAGTAATTGCAACTGAATTAAAAAAGCAGAACCCCCTGTGGAATAGAGAAGAACAGAAATAAGAAAGCAAATCAGTCAGGAAAACAGTTATAAATAATGTTCAGGGCATTTAAAAAAATTCTGTAAGATCTCTGAAGCCATAAATCTGCTTCTGGGAGTACCTAGAAAGCCTTTTCAGTCATCTGCTAACAATTAGAGTTCTTCAGAGACATGCACAGTGCAGGTGATTGCCAGTAACCTTAACACTCCAAGATGGGCAATATTCCCTGGTACTTACATGGCTGTTGATTCTTCAGCATGATGGCCTGGGGGCCTTACAACAGCAAAACCATTCTGTAAGAACAAGATAGGTTTTCAATTATCAGATTTTTTAAAAAAGCTGGTTTCTCTGTATAACACAGCACAGCAGGCAAACAGAATTGGAATCCGCTATAGGCTCTTGAGCACGTTTTGCAGCCCCCATTATCCTTTCATAGAATTAGCAGAAACAATATATGTGGTCACAGCTGCATATATATCACAACTTAAAGAGAAGCAAAGAGACAGACTCTAATACAGCCAGAATTAGAATAAGATATTTTGGAGCTGTATAGCATCTAGCTGGCAAATATACACAATAGCTATTGTTCTGTATGACACAAGCAGAACTGATTTATTCATTTAGGTCCAGAATTCATAGTTGGTAGAGAAAAAGTATCACTGATCCACCCAGATGAACATTTGATCCAAATTACATTGCTCCCTGTAGATCCATTACAGACTATAAAACAGTATAAAGGGCAGGGAGGGGATGGGGGGAGACATTGGTATTTACATACAATGGTTTGGCAATGTTGGCTCTACTGTCAGTGTAAACTAAATGATAAATTTACACTCACACACAAAAATGGCAATTCCTAAGAGTAGAAAAGGAGGACAATCAAAATCTCATTCTTCTCCAGTCTATAAATTAATCTTGGAGGTCTGCCAAAGCTTGCAACTTTATTGAATTCCCCCAGTCAGTTTCTAACACACATTCTGGAATTTTATAGAACATTTTCATACACAGCAGCTATCAGAAGTAGTAATGATGAAGGGATTCTTTAACCTACAGATTCACTGCAATGCATCATGTAAAAAAAAGTATCTCCCCCCACCCCCCACATGAAGCAAAGGAAAGATCAATAAATCCTTGCAAGACAACTGCTGTTCAAAAATGTAGGCTGTATAGTCATGAAAATAATTTGCTATCATAAGGAAAAAACTGTTAATCAAAACCTAGGCCAAATTCTATTTCCTGTTACACCAGTGTGAATTAGGAGTGACTCCATTATTTCAACAGATTTACTCTTGGTTTACACAGATGCAACTTGGAGGAAAGTTGGACTCCTGTGTGTTTAACTACTGCTTTATAACCATAGCCAAAGGAGATTAAAAATTATATTCTAATCAATGTGTAATTCTGGCAGCCAGACCTATATTTTAAGTGGTCCACAAGGAGTGCTTCAAATGCCTCAGACAAAATGCAGAAATGGATTTTAAGAATATACTGTAGGCTATGTTCAAAGGGGGTTGAATATATATGCCTTTTATTGATAAATTATTCTAATTAGAAGTAAGGAGGCTGGTTGAGTTTCAGTGCTGCAGTCCTTATCTAGAAAAACAACCACAATTGATAGGCTTGATTGTTCTCTCACTTTCATAGGTGTAAATAATGAGTAACTACAAGTAAATCAATGGAGTTATACTGCTGTATGTGAGATCCATTTTCTTAGAAAAAAAGGGGCTATTGAACATATAAATAGCAGTTGCCTTATGAAGGCTAATTTAGCACCAAGTTATCCTGCAATAGCATCTGATATAACCTACTGCTAAACAGTTCAAGATGCCAAATGCACTATTTTGTAGAGTCTACAACATTGTTATCAGACTACAGGGAGCTCAAGACAGCTGCACAGGGAGCAATCCTGCAACGTAGTGAGCAATTTCACTACTCTTCAGTTAGGGTATGTCTACACTAGCCCCCTAGTTCGAACTAGGGAGGCTAATGAGGGTGACCGAAATTGCTAATGAAGCGCGGGATTTAAATATCCTGCACTTGATTAGCATATTCCCGTCCGGTCGCCATTTTGGAAACTGACTAGCCCGAAGTAACTGCCCGAAGTAACTACACGCGGCAGAGACGCAGGATTCCTAGATAAACCGCTTAGTTCGAATTAACTGTTAAACCTCATTCCATGACGAGTAACAGTTAATTCGAACTAAGGGGTTTATCTCGGAATCCCACTTCTCTGCTGCATGTAGACACAGGCAGTTACTTCGGGCTAGTCAGTTTCCAAAATGGCGACCGGACGGGAATATGCTAATCAAGTGCAGGATATTTAAATCCCGCGCTTCATTAGCAATTTCGGTCGCCCTCAATAGCCTCTTTAGTTCGAACTAGGGGACTAGTGTAGACGTACCCATAGAGAATTCAGGGCACATGGCAGTATCTTTCATTGATGTACCCCTAATTTCCACATAAATGTTCAGAGTTTATGAAAAAGACACACATCAAATACCTCAAAGGGGTTGCAGTGTTAGACCATAACTTAACAAAATTTTGTGTGCACAAGCACTTCTTTAAAAGAAGAAGAGTGTTTTGTTTTACAGGACCACTAATTTTTTACACATCAAATATATGTGTCAATTCTTAGCTGTATCCCCCTTAGCAATTGAACAGAAATTATCTGTAGATCAGTGTTTCTCAAAGTGTTATGTGGGCCCACTTTGGGACAGCTGCTAGCAGGCCCACACCACTTTGTTTACATAAAGAATCCATAATCAAGGAGCCTCGTGGCTCCCATTCACTCCAGTTTGCCAATTCCAAGGGGGGGTCTGTGGGAAGCAGTTTCCTGGGCCACACCACTTCCTGCGGCCCACTTTGCGGAACACTACTGTAGACTGAATCACCAACAATGAAAACCAAAACCCAAGGCAATTACAAAGCCATTGCTGATACTCACCAAGGGACGTTAAATATCAGTTAATTAGACAATCTTTCTATTAAGTGGCTGTCTGTCATGGGATTTTCAACTTGCCGCTCCTGCTCACATACCAATGTGGCCACCCCCACCAGCGCTTGCAGGTGTGCTCTGCCACCTGGCTCAGTGCTGTGCTGAGCGGCTCTCCTTGTGTGGAGGCACTGCCACTGTGGCCAACACAGCAGGCATACTCTGCCACTGCCTCTTGCTGCCCTCCCCGCACTGGCCTGACCACAGGAGCTGTCGTGGGTCAGCCTGGGCTCATGGAGGAGGGGAGCTAACTGTGTAGCACTGCAGGTATGAATGCGCTGCAAGCAGACCTCAGTCGTGCCATAGGTGTGCCCCAGCCCATAATACTGCCGCCCCCAGAGGGAGACCTTCATGGCCGCCACTGGCTGCCCCACAAGCCCAGTGCTCCCTCCCAGCCGGCAATTCTCCCCAGTCTGTCCTGAGAATCCCCTGCCAATCCTGCTCGCCCTCCCCACTGATGTTTAAACCCCTGGTCACAGACCGCCCTCCCATTTGTAAAAGCCTCCTCCATGGGCACAGCCCGCGCTTAGCTCCCCACCCCAAATTTGCAAATACATTTAAAAATACTATTTTAAGGTTCTGAAGAACTAACAACAAAGAGGCTACAAAGAATTAGCAATTTCATTTTCTAGGCTCTTCACCTCACCTCCACTTTGTAGAGGTCTGCCCTGACTTACTGCCAGCTTAGATCACCCATTTCCAATATTTCAACAAAGCGCTCCCCACTACCCTTATCTATCAAATGAATTCCCCACCAACATCCATAGCTCCTTCAACTCCCCCGAAAGCCTACTTGCAACTATAATGTGTACAGCACCCATAGGTAGGCAGTTGGTGTTCTGTGACAGCTCTTTGTGTTCCTTGCCTTCTCTTTCAACCCTTTTTCTCAATTGTACACCTAGCACCTTGAACACTCTTACACAAATTCCAGTCACATCGAACTTTCCAGAAGCCCTTCCTAAAACATTTGGTAAAAAAGTCTAGCTCAAAATACATAAGCCGATCAAAACGAACCTTGGCATTTTTTTTAGTTGTAACACATTAGATTTAAGACCAAAAAGACAAAAATAAAATAAAAAACCTTTTAAAAAGACAATCTTTCTAAAAACATACCAAAAGACTAAAAATGATTAAAAAGTGCACCAAAAAGTCAAAAATAAATTTTTAAGCTAGAAATTTAGGAGAAAGATTGGATGGCTAAGTATGATTCAAGCTAGTTGCTGTCAGCCATCCAATGTTTCTCCTAAATTGCTAGCTTAAAACTTTATTGAATAGTTGATTAACCTCATGAATTCTTATCGGTTACTCGACTATTCTATAGTCCTCAGGGTGAGGCCAGATGCCATTGAGCTCTGGCCCCACTCCCGAGGAGCCCCCTGCCATTCCTTTTTCTCAGAGGCAGCAGCGCAGGGTGCCAGGCGGGAGCTGCTCTGAAAGGGGAGTCAGTTTAAAAACCAACTCCTCTGGCAGACCGGCTGCCTGTCACTCCACACTGCTGTCTCTGATACAAAGGCAGCAGCATGGGGTGGCAGAAGCCCCTGTCCAGTGCAGGGGTCTGAGCTCCTGGACCTGGCACGAGTCAGAATTGAGCCAGGCTGCTTACCCACCTGGCTCCTAATAGACTTTAAATTCAGAGCCACAGCAGGGGTAGGTCCCAGACCCAGCACAAGCTGGGACTGAGCTGGGCTGCTGGCCAGCCTGCTTACTGGCAAGGGGGGAAATGTGTGTAGTCTATAGCATTAACCTATACGATTTTGCTTTTCAGTTAATTGGATAATCAACTACCCAGTTCTGGTGTTTTTCATAAAGCCTCAAATCTTGGAGTCAAGTGATTTAAAACAAAAGTTTCTAGTCCTCATGGTTGCTGAGAAAAACTTGAAAATATGAACCATGAAGGCTCAAAGATCAGGTGACAAATTATAAATAACCCAAATTTATTATTGAAAAAAATTAATCATTTAAAAGCCAATGTAATAGATTTGGGGGATCTCACTCATGATATTTGAATGCTGAAGTATAATGAATCAGAATGAGAGTGTAAGCCTCGTTTTAGGAATTCATCGCTGCATTTAGCCTATCACTGTCCCACCATTTTTTATACTTTTAACTAATATCTGAGTACTCTGCCCACACAGGCTTTTTGTGGCCTTTTTCCCCCCCCCCCCCCCCAAATATGTTTCACAAATGGTTGTAACAAATTTTGTTCTCATTCAGACAAATTCTGGGATGCATTTCTCCACTCTACCATTTATGAAAATCTAATGTATATATAAATTCAAGTACTTCTAGGTAGAGAACCCA